ATTAGTTATTGAAGAGAGTGCTTAATTTAATGGCGAAGATTTTAATTACAAGAAGTGTAAGACAATTTATTTTGCGCAATTTTTGTTTATACGTTTCTGTGTCTATGTTTTTATTTCTATGTTTTATTTATGATCTTTGTTTTTTTTTTGCTTTATGGTCACGTGAGATCAAACCACCGCAAAATGAACAAAATAAAAGTTTAAACAAGGAAGGAGGAAAATTTTCTTAGGTTGTGTTGACGATGATGAAGATGAGGATGATGGCTGGCTGGCGATGAAAATAATGACGACGATGATGCGAATGATAAAAATGATTACATATAAATGGCTAAACATGACGGAAGGTAACAGTTTGTAATGCATATCGAATAACAATAGGAATTCTACGATAATAAAAATTGATAAGTGATATGACGATGACGATAATGATTATGATAGAACGACAGAAACAATTTAGAAAAAGAAGAAATGGCGGTGAAGACGACGACGATGATGACGATGACGACAATGATGAAGAAGATGGTCATCATCATTTTTCTACTCAAATCCAAGCTTTTGATGCATGTTGCGAATCATTGTTCCGCTTTACTACTCTTGAGAATGATGATGATGATGATGATGATGATGATGAGGACGACGATGATGATGAGGACAATGATGATGATGAATGGTGGTGATGGTGATTTGATGATGATTGAAATAATAATTCGTTACATCAAAATGAATAATGGTGATTAGCAGCACTGATGACGTCATTTTTGAATCGTAATAATAATAATAATAATAATTATAATCATCATCATCATCATCATCTTAGTTATTTATGATCTAAATGGAGCTGATTATGATTTTGTTAATGATTATGACGATGACGACGATGCTGCTGTTGTTGTTGTTGACGTTGATGATGATGATGATAGCCAAGATTGCACTGGCAAATTTCCACATCCTCGAATGGTTTGCCTGGAGAGATGATGACGTCAGAGCGACTACAATCACCACCACCACCAACATCATCATTACCACCATTATCATCATCATCAGCGTTAAGCATGTAACGCAATTTTTTATCGTCGTCATCATCGCCATCGTCTATGTTGTAATAAATACCATCTGCTTTTTTGGCGTAACTATAATTAGAATTGTTATTATTATTATTGTTGTTGTTGTTGTTATTACTATCATCATCATCTTCTTCTTCAACCTGAATGAGAACGGTCGTCAGTCTCTGCTTGCCAACATCGTCATCATCGCCACTCATCATCATCATCACCACTGACGATTTCGGTGATGATGACGAAGAAGATGATGATGATGATGACGATGAAGTTGATGTTGGCGATGATGATGATAGTAATGTTTTCACTAGTGGTTCTCTCTCGACGGGTTTTCCCGTTCTTTTGTTTGTTCTATTTTTAGATATGCGATGTTTGTTTTTGTTTATGTTTGTAAAATTAGTGTTAATACTGTTGTTGTTGTTGTTTTTATTGTTATTACTGTTACTATCATCATCAACATCATCGTTAGTGATGTCATTATCGTTTCTAACGCTCTTTTCCGTTTCCAATAGCAACCTTAAAGTGTGTCTTTGACATAATTTTGAAATAGCCAATGGCAGGCAAGCCGTGATGATGATGATTGCGGAAATTGTTCTTGCGTGATAAGTCCAACCAAACGTTATGATGACGTCAGCGAGTCTTGTCTTGTTGTTGTTGTTGTTGATGATGTTATTGTCGTTAATGTTGCTGTTTTTGGTATTGTTGTTGATGTCATTCAAGTAGTTGTTGACGTTTTGGTTATTTGCTTGAGTGTTCACGTGATTGTTGTTCATACGTTTGTTATTGCCATTAGTGTCATTATTGTTTAGATTGTTGTTGTTGTTGCTGCTGTAATTGATGCTATTGCGTTTGTCCGTGTTGATGTTTGCACCGGCGACCCTGCCATCATTAATGATGTGAAGTTGATCGTTATTTAATCTGTTTCCCTGCTGTCTCAGGCCATCAATGTTGTTGCCAGGGTTAATGTTTCTGTTGTTGTTGTTGTTGTGGTTGTTGATGTAGTAGATATTTCCGTTAATTTTGTTGTTGTTGGATTTGTTGGCTATGCTAATACCATTGGCTAAGTATTTGTCGTCAACATTGTTGTTGTTGTTGAAGTTAATGTCGGTACTTTTAAAGTTATTGTCATTGTTGTTGATGTTGTTGCTTACGACGTAATTGTCGTCGTTGGTGCCATGAAAGTAGTTGAATTTGCGTGCTGACCGTTGCAAGCCAAATGACATGACGTACATTAAAATTTGTATGGTCACCGATAAGAAAGCTGTTGTAGTTGTTTATTTATTCATTTATTTATTTATTTATTCATTCATTCATTCATTTATATGGCGCTTATTATTTAGAAATAACTGAACACACGAAGATGTAGCAGAAATAAATTTAATATAATATGCTGCCTCCAATTTCGTACCTAGACGAGCCGTTGGTTAAATGTATAATTATTTATATACCTTCGAGTTTCCATGGAAAGAAAATGAATTTGTTATTTGGGGGATGGTAAGTCTTCCACCGGTGAAGAACATACGTACACATATACGTACATACATACACACACATACATACATACACATACATACATACACACACACACACACACACCTATATATATATACATACATGCATACAAACATACATACTAACATACATGTATTCGCTTGACTGGCTATGATGTTGAAGCATTTGATTTATGTTCGACATGTTTATGATTTTTTTTTTGAAAAATAAGAGAATAAATATAATATATAGAGATGTCATAAATATTTCTACAATTATAGATCTACGGCATAAAACAAATAATAAATTTTTACATCTTTGTTACATATTTATTTTTCAGGTTCAAACAAGCGAACATTGAACGAACAAAAACGAACAAACATTTAGCTTTTTCGACGAACAGTGAAAGTCATTTATTTAACCAGCAGACCAACAAAAAATAATTAAACAGAAAAAATATAAAAAGCCATTTTGATTGGTTGATTGAACTGCCAATCAGCATAAACCAACCATAAAACATGACCTGCTGCCAATTTTAGCTTTCTAATGACGTCATCGTCACCACGGCAACCTTCTATACGATCATTCGATCGTTCACTCGCGTCATCAACACTTATCTTTTCCTTTATTGTTTTAGTCTGCTGTTGTTTTTGTTGTTTTTGGTTTATTGTTGTTTTGTTGTTAGCGTTATCAGTGATGTTTGAAAATGTGCAAATAAAAGATCTTTCATGATATTGCCAGCAAGTAGCAGACAACGACATGCAACAGAATTGTTGTTGCTGAGATGCAGTTGATAAACGGAATGCAGTTTTACATATTGTGTTGTTGTTGCTGATGATGTTGTTGTTGTTGTTGCGACAAACCATTAACAAACCTACTTATTACTTAACATATAGATGTGTTTGTTTATATACCCTGGTTTAAGTTTTTGTATATGTGCATAATAGTTATGTATCCAAGAATGTGACTGTGTGTGCGTTTGTGTATTTGTGTGTGTGTGTGTGTGCGTTTATGTGGGCGTTGGTGAGTGGATTGATGATTGGGTGTGTTTTCATAGGTAGAGATGAAAATATTTCATCCATTGTTAGGCCGTCACCATAGCAAATATTTAATGCTCTGTTTGTTTGTTGGAACTGTCTGCGTCAGATTTATACATGGATACACACATACACAGATACATAGATACACACATACACAGATGAATAGATACAAACATACACACACACAAAAAAACACACAAAGACACACATGCAAACATAGATACATATATACATACATAGATACACACAAACATATACAACAGTAAAAAGTACACATACACACGCACACATACCAACAAAAAGAGAAATATACACAGACACACGCACTGTGCAATATATATTCACTGATATCTCGAACATTTGTATTTAACAAGCAATACACCGTGAAACTCGTTAAACTATCCATAGATGCTGATTAATTTTGGGGTAATACAAATGCAAATCATTCTGGAACGCATAGAATCAAACAGAAATATATATAAATAATAAATACACAAACAAACAAACGAACGAACCATACGAACGAACAAACGAACAAACAGCGAAAAACAGACTAACAAAACAAATATTCCTATTTTTAATCATTTCTTTTATTTATTTATTTTTGTTCGTGTGTTCGTTCTTTTCTTTTGTTCATAATTCATTCATTCATTTTTTCATTCATTCATTTATTCGTTCGTTCGTCCATTCATTCATCCATTCACCCATCCATCCATGCACTTTCTTAATCACTTGTAAACATAAATCGGTGGGGACCACTGCTATCGTAAAAGCAGATTGTTATTATTGATGTTATTGTTGTTATTACTATTGTTATTATTGTTGTTGTTATTATTATTTTTATTATTTCATATATAGAAGATTCGAAGACAAGCTAACATTTAAACGAGCATACAAAACATCATGATATTAGGATATAAATTACATTAAATACATTAACAACGAAAAAAAATCCTCGGCCATAACAACAAAAACATCAGCAACAACAACATAAACATCAACCACCACAACAAAAACATCAGTAACAACAACATAAACATCAACCACAACAACAAAAACATCAGTGACAACAACATAAACATCAACCACCACAACAAAAACATTAGTAACAACAACATAAACATCAACCACAACAACAAAAACATCAGTGACAACAACATAAACATCAACCACAACAACAAAAACATCAGCAACAACAACATGAACATCAACCACAACATCAAAAACATTAGCCACAACATCAACTACTTCATCGAAAGCACCAAAACATCAGAACCATCAACCAAAAATATGAAAATTTTCAATTCTAACAGCTATCTCCAGATACATTTATGACGAACTGAAGCAAAACCAATCTTGCCATAACATTTGAACAAACAAATTTACACGCACACACACAAACACACACGCACACTCACACATACATACACACATAAGCACATCCATACATGCGTACACATACACACACAAACACATCCCTACATGCGTATACATACACACATTCACACATACATACATATACACCTAAATAACTTTTATACTACAGTAGTTTAATACTGTAGTTTAATAGTAGTAATAATACTGTAGTTTATTTATTATTACAGCAACTACTACAACTAAAATAATTAAACATACCTAAATAATACTGAGTATCTTTATATACACATGGCTTAATCAAGTAAATGCAGATAAAAAAATAAATAAACATATGTATATGGTCACACAGACACACACAAACAAAACACACACGCAAATACAAACACAAACACACACAAACAAACAAACACACGCACAACACATACACACATATTTACAAAATATTGTACACACATACATACATAAAATACATCATATAATCTCTAGGGCTTCAAACCTTATTATCTTTCTCAAATTAGTGGCGTTATATACCTAAGATGTGTCTGGGTTTCTGCAGTTATGTCTGTAGTTTTGTCTGTATGTCTATAATTATGTCTGTGTGTTTAAAAAATATTTAGTTTTTATGGCATTTTGTCAAAAATTTTTATGTATACTGTACATACGTGTTATTGCTTAAGTTATGTGAAAGCATTTATACACATCTGTATGCATGTTTATGAAAATTGTGGATATGTCCAATACCACACAACACCACACATTACCACACAGTACCACACGATACCACACAGTACCACACAATACCACACAGTACCACACGATACCACACAGTATCACACGATACCACACAGTACCACACGATACCACACAGTACCACACTGTACCACACACAGCTACAATACCACAAACACACCACCGGGCACTTTTATTTATTTCATCTCATAAAATGTTTTCGCGTGATGCTCAAACCCAGCAAGAAGAAATAAGACAAGCTGCCTTCTACTAATGTCCTTACATTTATGCACGCTCACTTGCAAGGTCATATAACTTACTAGCAAACACATACACACACACACACACATATGCACATACACACACACAACACAAATGTGCATATACACGCACGCGCACGTGCTCAAACTAAAAAATCACACGAAGTAGATAAATTACGTACAAAAAAATTATTAAAAGTAATTACTACCATTATAATACTACTACTACTACTGCTGCTGCTGCTGCTGCTGTTGCTTCTACTACTATTTCTACTAAATCTCTTTATTAATTCTGAGGTATCGGCAGAGCATATAAATACGTATGAATCTCCTTGCATTCAAAGCCGGTAACTTCAACTACATCTACAACTATAACTTAACCAAATACACTGCTGAGTAAATAAAATACAATACCAAATATATTTTCAAATACAATAGCTAATATAAGACTCAATACGCAAATAATAATTACTGCGTGCGTATGTGAAGGCACTCCTGCTGATACCTGTACCTAATGTACAGCATGTTGGTTGATGGAGGAACGCTTTTAAATGGAAATGACGGATGCATGTTGAGGCTGTTGTATGTAGTCAACCTCGCTACGGAAACATTTACGTCATCATCTTCATCATTATTATCCTCATCACTCATCATCGTCGTCGTCGTCTTCCTCGTCGTCATCCAATCACCATCGTTTTAAAATGCCACTTGTAATATGAAGAGCGCACTCTACGAACGAACAAATATAACGAACGAACAAGCAAACAAGTGAACAAACAAACAAGTGAACAAACAAACAGAAGGAAAACAAACAGACAAACAGATGAGCATAAACTAAAACAAAAAAGCTAACAAGCAAAATGTACATCAACAAAAAAAGCAAACAAACATAAAACACAAGAAAACATTACAACAAATGAACAAACCACCGAACAAACAATAAAACTTATAAACAAAAAAACAAACAAACAAACGAACGACAACGGACAACATATAAACAAATATATAAACGAACGAACGAACAAAAGACCCAAGCAACCTGCATGTCTGCTTGATCCTTGCGGAATAATAATGACCACACGCCGACTTTGATTTACATTTACTGTCTTCCTGTAATGGCCGAAAAAGGAAAAACGTGATCAATATTTAGTATTTTTGGTCACGGCACATTTGCGCTGTCTATAGCAACAAATTGGTTATTTAGTGTTTTCTGTTAGGTGTCCTATCCGACTTTGTAAATAATGGCTCTTTAATACCAGCTGATTGCTTTATGCCTCTCATTTCGAAATTGTTTTTTTTTTAATTTTTTTTTGTACGAGATTAAAA